GGTTGATCAGTATACAACAGGATCATTTGGTATGTTTTAAAAGTTAAAGCTTGCTTTTCTGTGCAGAAACTGTGGCAGTTTGCACATGGAAGCACAAAGGGAATAATGCTGATGGCTATAGCTTAAAAGCTGTTCCTGTTTTTTGCAAAACTCAAGTTTCTTTGATAGCAGACCTGGATCATGTGCATTAGTTGGTAACTCAAACAGAAGTTCTCAGGCAGAGACAGAGTTTAACATGAGAGTACTGCAAACAAAACAACAAACAAAACCCTAGTACACTGCCAAAAAACTGACATAGACAATTGGTGTCATTTTAGCTCTCTCAGTCTAAGGAAATAAGTAAACATTCATAGGAGGTGGCACTATCTATATTAAACTAAGTTGATACAGTTTGAGAAATGAGATGAGAAATGAAAAAAATCTTCTTTCTCCATCACATTTGCTTCAGGAGTTACTGATTCAGACCTGAAAAAGCTGTTCAAAAGTCTGTTAGCTAATTTGCTACAAGATAGTGCCTCTCCCAATAAATATTCTCTTTGTAATAAGAAAAAGGGCAGTTTTAGTTTTTGTGTTTTAGGCACCATCTATGAGCATTTCACATAGCCAGAACGAGCAGAAAATCTCATGGATTCCCCTCAGACCCCTTTATGCAGTCTCCTTGGTTTTACTTCTGCCTTCTGTATTTTTCTATCTGTGGCACAGAACACGGTAGGCTAAGGATATACGCTACCCTAATTATAATTTTCACATAGAGAAGACCTTCTAGACGTGCTGCTTCCAAATACAATGAATAGCACAGGTCTGCTTTAACGATACCCACTTGTCCTGTAAGTCAGTGGTCTCCAAACCCTTTTTATCATGCACCACATCAATAAAAACTTTTTGAGCATGTACCTCTATTATATGCATTTTAAAAAATTATATATGACTTTATTACTACATTATTATTATATATACTAGTTAATATATTACCATACAGAACATATATATTTAAAAGGATGAGATAAAGAGGATAAAAACCATTATTTAAAAAACATTTATATTATTAAGGGTACCAAAAAATATTTTCTTCCCGCACTTATTTTGTAGACCACTGCTCTCAGTATGAAACTATTTCAACCCATCCCAATGTGTTGTCTCAGTGCCTACAATTTTACCTGAATCAGTTCAACCCTCTCCTCCTTGTTCAGCAGTTTGTTCCCTTGGTTAGCATTCATCTGCTTACCTCCGAGCTTGCCTTCACCTAGGTTATAGTATAATAGGGCAGTTTCAGCCAATTCAGTGGGGCTTTTTGGTTGGGTTGTTGGTTTTTTTAATAGGTTTCCCTCTCTATTCCATAAAGAAGGTTTTTGAAGCACAGTCATTCAGAAACCACTACAATTTCTTTTACAACAAAATGAACCTTTGTTGCTTCTCAGCATTTATCATCACTAATAATGTACTGATTATGTAGCTTATTTTATCTAGGTGCCTGTGCTTATAGAAAAGCATGTGTACAAGTTGGAATAAAAGCCACATTTACACTATCAGCAAAACAGAGAATGTAAAAAAAAATGGAAATTAAAACGACACACCTTACTACTAGAAATGCTTCAATTGCAGAAATGTGTAAGGGGGTGTGTGTTAACAAACTAAATCAACAACCCCGCATACTTCCTGTGCAGATCGTTCTGCCGTGCACCTCTTTTTCTGATTTTGCCATACATGTATTATGGCAGCTTCCTAGCTGTATCACAAGCATTACTGAACTGTGAACAAAACCATGAAATCTTTTCCCTTGCTACTGTTGGAAATACCTCAGCATTTCCTATGAGGAAGATTTAAGGAATGGTACAAACACGGACATGACAAATTTGACAAGTGCATTCGAGAAAGGCAGGGCCGTCAGAGAAACATTTGCTCCAAAGCAGAACTGCCCAAACGCGGGGCAATGATTACAGTATCTGCCCTGAGCGTGTGGTTACCAAGGCTTAAGGTTCACTCTCGGGTTCAAAACTACTGAGCACTCAGTGGCTGCATTTTTTCAGAGCTGTATCAAGGGCTGGACAGGATGGGTACCCCCAGTGGAAGAACATGCAGCCAAGCTGAGCCAGTAGCTGCTGCTTCAGCAGAAAAT